AATTTTAAAAATGAAAAAAATATATGGATTTTTTAAATTGCTAAATTTTTCTTTTGAAAAAATTGAAATTAAATTTTTTTAATTTTTGATGCAAATTAAACAATTAATAAAAATGGACATTTCCCACTCATTATGAGTTTAAGTAATCACTTGGCTGTTTAGGAATGAGCCAATAAAAAGGGAGCAAAGCTTAAACTCATAAAGATTAAGATTTAATAAATAGATTGAATTGTTGAGATTAACAATTTGAAATTAGACTTGCAATGCTATTTGAGTGGTTTTGCTCCCTTTTTAATTGGTTCATTTTTGAATGGCCAAGTGATTATTTAAAACCCACACTTTAATTACTGTCACATAATTGATTATGGAAAAAAAGAAAGGCAGCATAAAGCCTTTTTACTTTAAATCATTTTGCAATTTTCAAGTAATCATTTTACATCAAAATAAAATTGAAATTTTTATTTTCAATTATTCAACACTAAGTGTTGAATTTTCAACACTGAATGCCGAATTTTCAACGCTAAGTGGTACTTTTAAAATTTTTCCAAAATACTAATGATACTTTTAAATTTTTTAAAAATAAATAGACCTATATAAACTGTGAAAATGTGTTATTGCAAAATGTAAAAAGATTATAAATTAGCAGTTACGGTATATTTTCCTGATTGTAATTTTGATTGTAATTTTTGTAATTTTAATTTTTTAATTGTAATTTGTAATTTTAATATTTTATTAAGCAAAAATTTATAACATTCAATTTTTGATCAATTATTATTATATATCTTTTAATTATCGATGAGTATATTTTAATTTTTCATTTCTAGTAAGGAATAATTTGAATTGAAAAACAAAGAAATAATTAGCTAATAATTTTATTCAAAAAAATTTCTCAATTTCAAATAATTTCTTTAAAATTTAAATCTTTTTGTTTTTATCAAAAACATAATTCAATTTTTATTTTCAGTATGATTTTGTATTCGTTTGCACATCCGGTGATTCGACGAGTGCTATGAATTTATTAAATGATGTAAGCTATGGTGAACTATGCTCAGGATTAATTGCAGCATCAAGTCGTGGACATGTTGATATTTGCAAATTAATACTGCAAAAAAATTCACATACAGTAAATTATGTTGATCCACAACAATGGAATGCATTACGATCAGCTGCATGCAACAATCATGATAATGTTATCGATCTTCTCATTCAAAATGGTTAAATTTTTTTTCATTACTATATTTGATATTTAATTGATTAATTAATGTTTGCGAAAAAAAAACAAGAAATGCTATAAAAGGATACATTTGAATATTTTACTACAATTAAATTTCAATATATTTAATTTATTTGTAATTAAATTATAGTATATTTAATTTACTCTTAATTAAATTTTAATATAGTTAATTTGATTGTAATTAAATTTTAATATATTGAATTTGGTTGTAATTAAATTTTAATATATTTAATTTAATTACAATTAAATTATATATATATCATTTTAAAATTTTAATTTTTCATCATTCTCTGCAACATTTAACTACTGTTATATATAAGCTATTAATGCAAAAAAAAAAATCATTGAGAATTCTCGGGGTTTCATTACAGTAATCTTTTTCTTCTTTTGCGATAATCCTTTTTTATGAATCATCTTAATTATTGATAGGATTTAAATAATTATAAAATTTATTTTAAATCAAATATTTCATTAACCAAAGATATTAGATCGATGTTTAGTAAACAATGAGAATTCTCGGGATTTTATTACAGTAATCTTTTTCTTCTTCTTTTGTGGTAATATTTTTTTTTTACAAATTATAGTTATTGATAGGATTAAAATAAGTGTAAAATCTATTTCAAATCAAATATTTCATTGGCAAAAAGATATTAGATATTAGATGTTTAATGACCGGAAAGCATATTTCGGCTTATATCATGTCATCAATTGCTATTGCTATTATATATTATCCGGGATAGTATGATATAATTAAAACCTTTCATTTCATAGCATATGGTCATTAATATGACGGAAAGGTTTTCCAATGGAAGCATTTCATCATTTTCATATTGATTTCATATAAATTGTTTTATTATTAACCCATACACAAATCCAATACATAATAACCCATAAAAGGGATTATCAAGAAGAAAAGAAATAATATATATATATATATATATAAGTTAATTTTAAAGGTATGGAAGTAGATGAATGTGGTGAAGGTGGACGAACAGCACTTCGAGCTGCCGCATGGTAAATTCATTCGATTTAAAAATAATTTAAGTTGAAAAAAATAGAAATAAACTTTTCCATATCTCTCGTTAAATAGAAAATAGAAAATAGAAATTGATGGAATATTTTTTACGTTAATTAATTTTTAACAAATTTTTGAATTAATTAATTTTGTTAAATCTTGTAATTTTAATAATATATTTTGTTTTAATTCTTTAAAATTTAAATTTAATTAAAAAATTAATATTCTTTGTTTTTCTTTAAAATTTTTTAATTATTTTAAATTTATCAATACAAGAGTAATATGAAATTTAATTTTAGAATTTGAAAAATAAGCTCATAAATATTTTCCTTTTTGTTTTTTAGCTGCTTAAATAAATTAAATTTGAATATTAGCAATATTCTTTCTAAATGATTCATTAGATAAAAAATTGTGCTTTTTAATTATTTTAAATTTGTCAATACAAAAGTAATACAAAAGCTTATTTATTCAATTTGAATTTGAGTATTTATTCAGCTTGAATTTGAATATGAATCTGAATATATAATTCGAAAGTAACACAAAAGTCTATTTATTCAATTTGAATTTGAGTATTTATTCGGTTTGAATTTAAATATGAATTTGAATATATAATTCAAAAGTAACACAAAAACTTATTTATTCAATTTGAATTTGAGTATTTATTCAGCTTGAATTTGAATATGAATTTGAATATATAATTCGAAAGTAATACAAGAGCTTATTTATTCAATTGAACAAATTTTGAAATTCATACGACAATTATTATCATAATTTCTAAGCTAAAATGGTTAATCAAAAAAAAGGGAATAAGAGACCTAAAAGATTTTAATTTAATTTATCATTTAATCATCTAATTAAATGTTAATTAATTATCAAAATAAAAATTGTTTTTTTAATAGTTTGTGAATTGTTGTTATTGCTAAATTATTTAGTAAGACATTTGTGGTACTTACTTCATCTTGTCAACAAATAATAAATAAATGAAATGAGAGATTTGGAGAAAATGTTGGTTGGTTGGTTGGTTGGTTGTAAATTGATGTGAAAGAGAGATTTTGATATGAAAGGAGAAGAATGTAAATAATTAAGCATTAGTGAGATTCATTTAATGAAAATGACAAAACATATACAAATTACCAAATATACAACATGAGATTTGAATTTGATTAACACCCTTTTCGAGAATTAATAATATCTTTTGAATTATTCATAGATTTATATTATTATCCCGATTCTTTTAATGAGAGGAATGAAGAGGAGAAGCGGGGGGAGGGAAGGGGGTAATAATATTTATGGGAAATTATAGGATGAGTTAGTAGGGAATGAAGAGAAGAAGCGGGGGAATAATATTTATGGGAAATTATAGGATGAGTTAGTAGGGAATGAAGAGAAGAAGCGGGGGAATAATATTTATGGGAAATTATAGGATGAGTTAGTAGGGAATGAAGAGAAGAAGCGGGGGAATAATATTTATGGGAAATTATAGGATGAGTTAGTAGGGAATGAAGAGAAGAAGCGGGGGAATAATATTTATGGGAAATTATAGGATGAGTTAGTAGGGAATGAAGAGAAGAAGCGGGGGAATAATATTTATGGGAAATTATAGGATGAGTTAGTAGGGAATGAAGAGAAGAAGCGGGGGAATAATATTTAAGGGAAATATAAAAATAAGTATAAATCATATTGAAGAAGAAGATGATGAGGATATACGCGTTTGATTTAAAATAAAACTGAAATAAATAAACAACTGGAAGTAAATAAACAATAATGTTGGCAGTCTTAACTTTTATATTTATTTATTTTACAAAATGTTTCATTTAATTTTATTCCAATCGTATTTTTCACATTTTTAATTTTTGAAAAAAAGAACAAGAAAACAAATAAATAAACTATAAGAGTGGACATAAACGTGTGATACAACGTTTGTTGAAATGTGACCATTGAGTAAAATAAATAAATAAAAGAAATTATAGGAGTGATACGACGTTTGTTGAAATGTGACCATTGAGAAAAAAATAAATAAAAGAAATTATAGGAGTGGACATGAACGTGTGGTACGACGTTTGTTGAAATGTGACCATTGAGAAGAAATAAATAAAAGAAATTATAGGAGTGATACGACGTTTGTTGAAATGTGACCATTGAGTAAAATAAATAAATAAAAGAAATTATAGGAGTGATACGACGTTTGTTGAAATGTGACCATTGAGAAGAAATAAATAAAAGAAATTATAGGAGTGATACGACGTTTGTTGAAATGTGACCATTGAGTAAAATAAATAAATAAAAGAAATTATAGGAGTGATACGACGTTTGTTGAAATGTGACCATTGAGTAAAATAAATAAATAAAAGAAATTATAGGAGTGGACATGAACGTGTGGTACGACGTTTGTTGAAATGTGGCGCAAATGTTGATAAGCAAGATGCGGAAGGACGTACAGCAGTTATGGCTGCTGCATTTATGGATCATGCAAATATCGTTAGCATACTTTTAGATAATGGTGCAGCACCAAATGTAAGATTTCTTACTTATTCATTAGAAAATTTATAAAATATTCATTGATAACGACAATATATATATTGCTATTTAATTTTAGGCTATAACTTTATCAGTGTAAACTATGAGTAAGATATGATAAATTGGTGATAAAAAGTGAATTGTGAAAATTTTTTAAAATTATGTTACTAAAAGATTAATGTATACACGTTTATCATAATATATAATATTACAATGAAACGAAAACATGTATTTCAATAATTTTCAATTTGTGTTAAATGAAATTTTAGAGATAATGGGTAATTATGGATCTATAATTTTTTAATTATAAAATGAAACTATTAATCTATGTAATATTATAATTAAAAAATTATTTTAATTATTTTTTCAAATTGTGTTAAATGAAATTTCATAGATAATGGATAATTATGAATCCAAGTAATATTACGATTAAAAAATATGTATTTTATTAATTTTGAAATTATGTCAAATGAAATTTCACAGGTAATAAATAATAATTTTTAAATTATTGAATGAAATTTTACAGGTAATAATTAATTATGGATTTTTGTAATATTACAATTAAAAAATATATATATTTTAATAATTTTTAAATTATGCTAAATGAAAATTTTACAGATAATGGATAATTATGGATCAACCGCACTTCATTTAGCACTTTCATCAGGTGCTCAAACTTTTGATCATAATGAAACTGTTGCAGTACTTATAAAAGGTTTTTCTCATTTCTTTTTTCTTCTATGGTACTTTCAAATTAAAATTTAATTTTATATTATATTAAAAAAAGATCGTATATCTTTTTTTTAGTTTCGAAAAATGAAAAAAGTTTGAAAATTATTTCTTCTAATTTTTAAATTTGAAATTAATTTATATTAAGATATTTCTTTTTTTTTTTGCTTCAACAATATTAAAAATATTCTAACATTTTCATTTAATAAAATTTACTATAATTTTATTTTTTATATTAATTATTTGTTTATAGGTGGAGCAAATTTGTTGATTATTTGTTATTGATTATTTATTTGTTTGCAGGTGTTGATTAATTTATTATTTGTTTATAGGTGGAGCAAATTTGAATATCGAAGATATGAATGGCCGAAATTGTTTACATATTGCTGCTTATCATGGTGATCAAAATCTTCCAACAATTATTGATTTCATTCAAAATATTGATGCACAGGTGGAGATATTTTTCGTAATGCAATATTTTTTATTTCTTTTTATATAATTCAATTATATTAATTTACTTATGAATAAGATTTAATTATATCAATCTTGTTATGAATAAAATTTCATTATATCAATCTTGTTATGAATAAAAGAGATTTTAAAAAGTAAATAAATTTGTATAATTTTGATAGGATCAAAATGGTCGAACATCATTAATGCTAGCATCAAGTCAAGGTCATTTGATCGCCTGTCAACAATTGATCGAGCATGGTGCTGATACGGATGCTATTGATGAATTTGGTCGTACAGCATTAATTATAGCTGCAATGAGTGGTTTCTTGAATGTTTGTGAGATGTTGATTAGTTTAGGCGCTGATGAAGGTCATAAGGTATGATATAATATGATTTGAAATAAATAATCATTTTTCGATATAATGAAACGGAAAAAAGAAATCATATGCAAAATCTTATCCTCATTTTGTAGTAATCCGGAATATTTTATTCTCATTTTTCCGGATTATATAAATTATATGATCCGGAAAATGAGAGGGCAAAAATTTTTTTTTAACTTTAAACATAGGATAATTTAGGATAATGATGGTGCGGTAGCATTGCATTATGCAGTTGCACATTCAGATTTGCAGTTATGCAAATCGTTAATTACCTCAACTACTGCGCAAGCCACTGATACACGTGGTGTACATCCATTACTCATTGCTGGACAACGTTCATCAGTTCAGGTCGATTATATTTGCTTATTTATTATTACTATTATTAGTTAATTTGTTTATTATTATTATCACTAGGAGTTAATTAATAAAATTTTAATTTTATTAATAATTAAAAACAATAATTTTGTTGTAATTTCATTAGTTATGTGAAATTTTCAACGAATTTTGTTGCAATTTCATTAATTGCGTAAATTTTCAACGAATTTTGCTGCAATTTCGTTATTTATATAAATTTTCAACAAATTAATAATTTATTAAATAAATATTTTTAATGCATTTATGCGTTTCGATTATTATTGAATGCTTATATTATCGGATAATATTAGAAGACTAAAAATTATTGGTTATTAAAATAATAGTTTTATAAATTATTAATTCTAAAAAAATTTTAGATAGTGGAAGAATTATTAAAAGCTGGTGCACCTATACATTTACAATCACATGATGGTTTATCACCTCTACGTGCTGCAGCAATTAGTCGTAATGAATCAGTTTTAAAATTTCTAATAGAATATCTTCAAAAAAATGATGAAGAGCTGAAACTTGATGAACCAGATCTTGATGGAGTACCATTAATTCATACATTACTTGTTTTACGTGAACCATCAATGGTTACCATATTATTGGAATATGGTGCTTCAGCTAAAGTACGTGATTCACATGGACGTAGTTGTGCGCATATTGTTGCTCAGGTAATTATTACTTCTTTGTTCTAATTTTAATTAGTAATAATTTGTTATCGAAGTAATAAAATTATTAATAAATTTGTTTCTTAAGTAATATTTGCAAGAAGACAAAAAGAAATAATCATATCCTTTATTGTTTGTGAAAAATTTCGTTTCAAATATTTTTTAGAAAGAATTTGATTTTAGTTTTTAATCAAAATCGTTTCTAATTTCTTTGTTTTTCTTTTCTATACCTTTTCCTGAATTCACACTACTATTTACTTTTTTATACTTTTTCCTGAATTCAATTGTCATTTCAGTTGAATGATCTTAAATTAGCTGCTATTATACGAAAATATGGAGCAGAATTTGAAGCACGTGATGAAGATGGTCGTACACCATTAATGATTGCCGTTTGGTCATCAAATTATAAAATTTGTCACTATATGTTAGAAACTATTGGTGTAGCACCAAATGTTATCGATTATCAGGTTTGATTAATTGTTAAATTTATCAATTATATAATTAATTATATGATAAGGTTTAAATATATATATACTGAATGAAATATGATCAAAATTTATCACATAATTATTAGTTGATAACGAGTTTTTTTCTATGGTTGTTAAACTGATAAATTTTTCTTTAAATGATAGCATATTGATAGTATTATTATTATTTTATAAATTTATATTTCAGGGTGCAACAGCATTAAATATAGCAGCAAATAATGGACAACGTGATATAGTTATGCTATTATTAAGATTTGGTGCTGAACCATCGATATGTGATAATTTAGGTCGTTGTGCATCAGATGTAGCACAACTTGCAGGACATGATCATATCAGGTTATCATTGAGTTTTATTATGCTTTTTTTTTTTGTAAATTGTTTTAATGTTGGAAAAATGTGAAGTAAACAAATTTATACATATATTATTGTTTAATATTTAATATTATTTTTGTTTTAAAAATTTCAAACATAAATTAGTATTAGTTTAGAATGTTAAATTTAAATATATTTCAATTTAAGTATAAAAAAAAGACGAAACGAAATTTTTAAGTTACTTGAGTTTGTCTCTTATCCACCTTTAGGAAAATATTGGATAATTGCTGTGATATTCATTCTTTCACTTCTATTAACCAACATATTGATCATTTATTGATTTATCATCATCGATGGTCAAATTTTAAATCATTATCATGATCGTGATGTATGATGCAGCATTTTGTGAACATCAACATCCAACTACAGGCAAATCCTGAAAAGCGCAAATGGTTCAGCTGATAGTTCCGGTTTTGGTTCATTACCAAGTAGTCCAACACAACAATCAAAAGCTAAATTTTTTTTACAACAACGAAATATGGGATCATTGAAATCAACCAATAATAATTCGCATGGTATTACAACAAAATGTAATACTTTACAAATTTAGAAGAAGAGATAATTTCTATTATATTTATCAATGATTTGATTTATATTAGGTTTTAGTTCTTTTTTTAATATTTTCATAAATTACTAGAATGATAATGATAATTTTATGCTTTTGTTCTCATCTAAAATTTGTTTCTTTTAAGGCTTTGTTTGCTTTTATCTATTAATGATAAGGAGTGATATGATGTTGATAACATTATAAATTCATAAAAATTATAATTGCCAAAGTTGGTATTTCTTGTTATGATCTTAACTTAGATATATTTTAACTAAGGTATATAAGGATGTTATATAATTAACTCTTTTTTTTTAGCCAGCATAATAGATTCGACATAAATAACTCTATGTGATGGGTCATAGGTCATCGTTTTTATGACTAATCATCATACTAGTTTATTAAATTCTTACTTACGTTCATAACTAAGCTTTATTTTCATTATAAAGGTTATAATTTTGTCGATACGATCTCGTTTTTTGTTTTCCTGTGCCATTTATTTGAACTCATCATCGATTTTATTTTATCCGATAATTCCGGAATGATCAGACCAATTAAATTGGAATAATTTTCAGGATTTAATTTCCTATCATTTTTCATACTACTAATACATAATTAATTTTATCACATTTTCTTGTATTAAAATAATCATTTGTATTTTTATACTTTAATCTAGTATTTATTCATATGCCTTATTAATTTTAATATTTCATCCGATGTATTATTTGTCAATAAAGCTTTTTTTTGCTAACTTGTATCTGAATCAGCTGTCCAAAATAACTCTCTGAAGGAGCTTTTTCATTTACTATAGAATAGGCTTATTAAAGAGAGAGAGAGAGAGAGTAGGTTGTCTTGAAATTTGAAAATAAAATAGATCAATAGCTATTTAAGCATTCCTAATTAAGCTGATATAAATTATTTAAAATATATTGGGAATGAGATGTAATAAAGATTATGTTAATATCGATAATTCCTTCACCTGTAATTCATCCTTCTCAGGTAACAATGATAGAAAGAATGAATTTGATAATAGTTGTAATAATTACGCGTAATGAATGCGAAGTAATTCAGAAAGCTTTAGCATTCATTTCAATCTAACTCATATCAATGACAGATATCATTTCAGTCCTAAAAAAAACTTGGCCAAAAATGCCAAGTTTACTAAATGAAATATTTCGTAATGAAAGTTTTATTTACGCAAGAATAGAGGAAAAAAATTGGAAATTAGAAATGAAAATGGTATTCGAAATAGAAATTGAATATATATAAGAAATTGAAATGGAAATTTGAATTAGTATTAGCTTGTATTGATTTGAGACACTCTTTTTTTCTACGTCTCCTTTTATATATATATATCTGATATANGAAATGAAAATGGTATTCGAAATAGAAATTGAATATATATAAGAAATTGAAATGGAAATTTGAATTAGTATTAGCTTGTATTGATTTGAGACACTCTTTTTTTCTACGTCTCCTTTTATATATATATATCTGATATATGAACTTTTTCAACAAAATCAAAATTAAGTTCAAAGAAATTTCTTTTTAAAGATTTCTAACTTCTGTGGCGTAATCCTTAGTTTTTTAATAATTAGCTTAATTAAGCTTAAGTTCTGCTTAAAGCTTAATTTAGTTCTTTCAAACTTTAAAACGAACTAGGAATGAAGGAAAGGAAGCAATACAAGGCCTTGAAATGTTGACAGTCTTTATTTAGACAAAAAGATATTAAATCAAACTCGGTGAAATAATTTTAATTCAGTAATGAATATTTAGAAAAACTGATATTGCAAATCTTTTTATCAAGTCCCTTATCGTTGATAAAATTAGATTATAAAATTGCTATCTTATTTACTGCAAAAAAAATCAAAAAATCATATTTTCGATTATGTACTGTTTTTAGCCAAAAATTTGAAATAGCAATTTTTGATTTGCCCCTTCATATTTTCAACTTATTCAGAAAGAAAACATATTTTGATAGAAATATTTGTAACTAAGGTTCAGATTAATCTTGATCTAGCTAAATGATATCGTGCATGCCAAATAGGGATTATAACTATCTCCAAGGATTAATTTAGTAAATTCTATTTATTCGCTATTTCCCTTGAGACACCTGTCCATTTTTAGGTTATTCAGGTTATTTTTTTTAGGTTATTCCATTTTTTAGGGGCTTACCGGAATACAAACAGATATGCCACAATTTTGTCGTACTCCGGATAGCTCAATTATAACAGCACATACAGTGGAAAAACATAGATTGCCTATGTGGCCTAGCTTAAAACCATTACTGCTAGTATGCGAAATGAAGAAAAAATAATCAAAACGATAAGCAAAATTACTTTACGTTCAAATTTTTTGTAAATGCTGCCATCTATTTCACTTCGCTTCCATTAATATTTCAGAATATGTTAAAAGTGATCGTAATTTTGCAGTCATGTCCTCACTGCCAAGGTGAAGGCGTGGAAGAAGCTTGGTTTACATTATTTTACGATTTGACTGGAAACCTAGGGGTTAAATTTAGAAAAATATCTCAAAATATTGATCCCTCTTCCCCTCTCGGGAAAAATTCAAACTAATAGTTTGTTTATATTTAAATAAATATACACTGAAAAATCATTGATGATACCTGCTCCGAATTCACGTAAAAATGCACGTAAAAAATCACTCTAGTTGAGCAGTTGTGCAACTAAATCATCAAATTTCTAATTCCAATTGTTAATAAACTCAATTCTTATCTTTTCATGACTAATCGAGCGCATTTATCATGCATGTCCTTAACAATCATGTGTTATTTCTTATCTATTTCAACAAGTTTCATNTGCAACTAAATCATCAAATTTCTAATTCCAATTGTTAATAAACTCAATTCTTATCTTTTCATGACTAATCGAGCGCATTTATCATGCATGTCCTTAACAATCATGTGTTATTTCTTATCTATTTCAACAAGTTTCATAATTCAGTTTAGTTGTTTTAAAATGCATAGAAAAAAACTGATTGAAAATCAAATATTTTATCATCTTAACTTTTCATTTAACAATAAACAATACGAAACACATGATAATCCCATCTTACTTATATTTCATGTTCTTAACGTTTACGACGCAATGACAAAGTATTGCGACGCAACCAACATTTTCTACGTGAACCTCCCTTCGTTGCTGAATAATGATGTCCCTTACCAAGACCACGGCTTCTGCGACCTGCAGATGTTAATCCACGCAGCTCGCGATGCTTATGCACAGGCTTCGTTATCCATTGTGTGTCTGGATTTCTTCGAATAGCCTAAAAAGTAATGAAAAATTTTTTCTTTCTTCGCTGTTAATATTGATTGCATCACCGCTTAAACAAGATTATATCGTTCGTGTCATCACTCCATTTAAAATATGATGGGTATACTTTCTAATAATGAAAGGAGGAATCAAGAATCAAAAACTTGCATAACTACAAACTTACAAATTCTTGATGCTAACAAGTTAATCCACTAATACTATCTCAGTCTAATCATAAAACATCTGTATCTCCGTTATCTGAAGGAATAATATGATAATGAAATGAAGCAGAAACCTTATGCGCCGGATCAATCATAATAACTTCGTAGAACTTGTATGTAGAATCCTGACCAACCCAATAAGAATTCAAAACACGAAGACTACCACATCGGCGTCCAACTCTCTCCTGTAAATGAACGTTTTATTATATCATAATTTAAAGAAATGACGCAAAGAAAGCAATGCAGATAAACAGCAATATGAACCTCAGCAACAGACTGTTTGCAGCGAGCAAATTTCAACTCATTAACACCATGATTTTTCGGTTTGCCATATGTTTGTCCTTTCACAACGTGGCGCTTCCGGCCACCTCTGCGTACTCTTACACGATAGATAATGTAACCTGAAATTCCAGTCTGACTTTAAAGTTAAATTACCAAAGT